AGGACCCTGGGATCATGACCTGAGCCGAAGGCAGTCGCTTAACCAACTGAGCCACCCAGGTGCCCCCAAATAAACAAAATCTTAAAAAAAAAAAAAAAAGAGTGGACAAGCAAGCTGTCCCCTGAAATCTGCGTCACCCTCTTCCATAGAAGTTAATTGTGACCAGGTATGTGGCTGCCAAGCTACATAACAGCTCCCAGTGCCCTTGCAATGAGGTGGGACAGTGAGGCTGTTTCTGCTGATGGAGTATGCATACGACGTTATGCACCACTTCTGGCCTGGGTGGTAAGACCACAAGCTTCTCAATGCCCTCCACCCCTTTTATTCCTAGTAGAACCTGCCTTTGGATGCCAGGCACAATCACACAGATCGACAGCATCATAAAGCAGAGTACAACAACAGCAAGGGAGAAACTTAATACACCTGAAGAAGACAAGAAATGAGGGTTCCTGCTGACCTGCTTGTTTTAACTGTTTTACAGGAAAGAAATTATTCTAGAAATTATCACACTGACCCTTGGTCTCTCCATGTAACTTTCAGCCTTACACTACCTAATATACCATTTTTCCCACCAAGAATGGGAGTCATTGATCATCAAATTTACTAGTATAGAACAGATGCTAAAAGGAAAAAGAGGGGTGCCTGGCTGGCTTAGTCAGTAGAGTACACGTCTCTTGATCTCAAGGTTGTGAGTTTGAGCCCCATGTTCGGTGTAGAGATTACTTAAAAATAAAATCTTAGGGCGCCTGGGTGGCTCAGTTGGTTAAGCGACTGCCTTCGGCTCAGGTCATGATCCTGGAGTCCCTGGATCGAGTCCCGCATCGGGCTCCCTGCTCGGCAGGGAGTCTGCTTCTCCCTCTGACCTTCCCCCCTCTCATGTGCTCTCTCTCATTCTCTCTCTCTCAAATAAATAAATAAAATCTTTAAAAAATAATAAAAAAAATAAAATCTTAAAAAAATGTGGTAAAAAGCATGTAATATAAAATTTATGATCTCAACCGTCTTTTTAAAATTTTCTTATTTTAAGTAGGCTCATGCCCAGATATTTACAGTGTTCTTAGATAGTATATATTTTCTACCTTTACGTATATCATACATATGTCTCTGTAGCAGACATGGAAGAAAATAGGAACCCAACAGAATAGAGCATGAGTGACGAAACTCTTCAGCTACACTTAAAATTAGAAATATGTGGCCACGATGCTAATGTCACTGAAAAGACTTTGTTAATCCTACATAGTAATAACTCTATTTTTCCATCAAAATCTCAGGAAAAAAACAAAGTATCAGTAAAATCTGTCAATGGCATCTTGACTGACCTCATCAATGACTGGAATCCACAAAACCCATTAGGAACAAAAACAAGCAGGAGGAAATGGGAGCTAACTTATGGGAGACCAGTGGGATTAAGAAAAAGGGTCAACTAAATTGCACATTCAAAAAAATGGTTGGATTTCTTTTTTTTTTTTTAAAGATTTTAATTTATTTTTGACAGAGAGAGTGTACAAGCAGGGGAAGCAACAGGCAGAGAGAGAGGGAGAAGAATGTGGGGCTCAATCCCAGACCCCAGGATCATGACCTGAGCCGAAGGCAGACACTTAACCGCCTGGGCCACCCACGTGCCCCCAAAATGGTTGGATTTCTAAATAAGACTGAGGTGGAACAGCCAAGACACGCAGGAGACTCTGGCAAAATGTGTAAGGCGAAAAGCATGTTTGATTTGTGTGAGGATTCCAATTTCCGATCTCCCAAAAATAGAGGAAGTGAGTCATCCCACGGGAAGTGTCCGCCATGTGGTTGAATAAGGTAAGAGAATGGTTTAGGCACAGGGACTGGAGGGGGTTGATCCAGGGATCACCAGAAAAAATTGAGGCCTCGGTGTTCCGAATAGAAGGGCCCTTGAAGGTAATTCCTATATGAAGGGATGATCAGAGGGAAGCACAGGGGCCCTGAACTGCAGGTGCCACAATCCGGGGAAAAGAAGAAAGAAGAAAGAAGATCCAGCACAGAAAAGAAAAACCAATGAATTCAGGGGACAAATCAAAAGGAAAAAAGGCCGTAAGAAAAAACTCCATGGACACAACAGGATGACAAAAGCCATGTACGGATGGAAAACCCAATCAGATGACAGATATGAGGAGATGCTCTAACATCTAAAAATGAAATTAAAACAAGAAACACCCCTATCGCCTATCACAAGGGCCATAAGAAATCTGATAAACGCCATGCTGGCAGGCAAGACGCACAAATGGGAATCCTTGTGCATTCTCCCATGAAAGCGTAGGTTATGCAGCTCATCTGAAGAGCAGAATGGTTTCCTTAGTCACATTAACTACACTTCTACCCAGGGGTCGGGGAATCCCATTCCTGAGCGTTCACCTCTGAGAAATTCTTACACCTTCCTCTAAGGGGCATTTACAGGATAATGTATTGCAGCGTTAGTCAGAAACTGGGAGTGGGAGGCAATGTACAGCCCACCACCACGGGGACAGATAGTGTGGCAAGTTGAATAACGCCCCCCTGCCCCAAAGATATCCACGTCAACCAGGTAGTAGTCACTCACCTCGATGCCTCTGATGTGGGAGCTGAGCCCCTCTTATCCATGACTTCTCTCCTTTTTCCATCCTGGAAATAATCTCTGGGTTGGGAATGTGATACCCTGTTAATGAGAAAGAATCTCCGATTTGGATGTGGTCTGGGGCTTTACAGGCCATTCAGCAAACCTTTGTATGGGCTCATCAGAAAAGTCAACATCTTTCACTAGGAACAAAGTGATAGTCAGAGGTGTCCTAAGGGAATGAATAACCCAGGACAAATCAAAGGCAAACAGATTACATAATTCAGATGCCCTACTGCGTTCCACAACAAGAAAGGAAATCTTAACGAGGTCCATCCAAGATCCCGGGTCAGGTGCGCTCACCCACGGAGAGGAGGTGGCTGTAGATCTCCAGCATCACATCCCAGTACAAGCATCTCTGGGCAGGGTCCAGTTGCTGCCACTCCTCCCTGCTGAAGTCCACGGTCACGTCCTCAAATGACACCGATCCCTGTAACAACAGACCCGGATGTCAATTACTCACTACCGGTGAATAGAGATGCTACCTAGAGATGCTACCGGTAGACTTGTTTTTAATCATTTTTCACCACGATCTATATGGCTTTCCACTAACACACCCATTTCATATTGTATTTTGGGGGGGGGGTGGTTAAAAAGTTTCTAGAAATATCCTGCCATCTACTGGGCGGTCTTCGTTCTACTTTTCTGGCATAGAGCTCCTAAAACCCTTG